AAGGTCTCAAATAACATGAAACCAATTATATTTTCTCACTAATTAATTTTTTTTTTAGGGATTTCTTCTCCTTTAAAAAAATAAATGGAGCTATACACATGTGCATAAATCATTTGTAATTTGTTAGTTGTATATATAACTGACATGTTAACTAACAATTCTGTCAGAACACCTCATAGAATATGTGATCTACATAATTCATAGATTTGAAAATATAATACGATACGTTATATTGTAACTTGTGGTCAGTGGTGGATCTACAACATATTTGGTGGTGGTTCAAAATATACACTAAATTTTTTTCTCAAATAATAGCAGGTGAGAAAAAAAATGAAGGGTTATTAAAGAGAAAAACAATCATTTTTAAACAATAATTTGACTTATATATATAAGAAACAAAAATATTTATAGAAGGCCTTAAAGAGGTAGACAGAACAAAGGGATAAAATGAAAGGAAAAGAAGAAGAAGAAGAAGAAGAATAGAGGGGAGGTAAAAGGAAAGAAGCCTAAAAGAGAAATTTTCGAAGGCTGGATGGTTTGAACTCCAGACCTCTTACAAAATGTTACCAATTGCAATACCACTAGGCTATAGAGAACTTTTGTATGAGGTGGTTCAAGTGAGCCACTTTGAACAAGGGTGGGTCCGCCACTGCTTGTGGCGGATGATGTGGCATTTTACTTCTCTGTTTATTTCGGTCAGTCTCTCTTGTTCAAACTAGCAACTATACAACTTGTGGACGTTACCATGGTTATATGATTCAACTTCACATTAATCATTAAAGTTTCTGTGGTCATAACCTGGACTATTCAACTAGCGTAAGGGAAGAAGATATCCTGCTGATCTTAATAATTCTCTCAACGAGTTCCTCCTTTTTAATTACTAACTCGATCGTCTTTTGATATTATTGTATTACTTCAATCGTAAAAGAAGAATAGTGTTAATTCCAATTCGAAGGTCTAGATTTTAAATCAAACCTAGCTACTAAGTCACTATGATATATTAATTGATCATAAATAAAACAGAGAGATAAGGCTAGTAATGCTAAGGATTATATACCAACTCCTGAGAGGTGTTTTATTAGGATTAAAGTTAGAGACACCTTTTCACTCTGTCCAATTAATTAAGTCCCAGTGTGACTTAAAATATTAGGAATTAACTTTAAATTAACATACATTGTCAGCAATACAAAGACTAGCTGCTACCTGTCAAGAACCAATATAGATTAATTTGGCAATATTAAGTAAGAATTAATGTTAGGCCGTATTTTATTACTTAACAAAACTAATGTACAGTCTAAACTTTTGGATAGAACTTTTGACTTGATACTTCACTTCACTAGGGTTCCATCCTCAAAATGTATACTTCCTATATATGAATAAAAAACAACCTCTTTAGTCTTCACATGTATGTATGTAATTCTTCAAATCGATCAAATCACAAGGAGTGTGAGATTATATCTTCTTGAGTTCTTCAAATTTTACTCTTACCTATATTTTAGAGCTTCTAAAGCACGCAAAGTTTGCAGTTCTTGTTTATTCCATTCTCGTTTTTGGCGGCTTTTATGTGCTCCTCCTGATTGCATCACAAGAAGCACGGGATAAATTTGCCATATAGAATTTTGAATTATATTTTCTACCTTTCTATTTCATACTCTAAGTTTTGCAATTACTTTGACTAATAATCAGTCTTTCTTAATAACACGGAACATTTTGTGGACCGTAAAAAGCAAGGATCCTTGGATTAGTATTTATTAATCCAAATTCTTCAATATTATAATGATTTAAAGATATATTCGTATATCTTTTTCAAGGGCTTCACCTTCAGAACCTTTTCAAATAAATCCCTAAAGGTTAGGGGTTATCTAAAAATATATAGATTCAGAAAAATATAAGAGTTTCAGAGGTCAAGTGGCATTTTTAAACTGCACGGGGTTATCTCAGAATGGAGCAAACTTCTTAGTTTATTTTTTTTCCCTTCCTTTTATTTATTTATTTTTTTAAAATTTTTATGTTATTCAATCTACTCAATAACTCCTCTTAGGACAGTAAAATATTTATTCATGATTACAAGAAAAACAAGGGTCTTTTTTTTTCTAAGTGAATAGAGACAAAGTATGGCAACTGCCTCATGATGGCATGGCGCAAGGAAGCAATGTTTGTTGTGTCCTATTTGTGCCTACTTTTGGCGTAAAGCAACAAAAAGAAAAAAAGAAGCTACTCTCTTCTTTTTCTTGCCAGCTGAGCACAAATATAACAAACTTCCCCCCAAAAAAAATGAAAAAAGAGAAATAACTAAGCTTTAACTCCCCTGTTTGTTTGTTTTTATTTATTCAGAACTCCCCTGTTTTTATTTCTACTATTGATTATGCAATGTACTTTCAGTTAGGGAGTGTTTGGTTAAATGAAGGTGACTCGAATGTGTGAAAGTCACTTATTTTTGTAAGTGTGAAAGTGGATCCATGTCAACATGAAAGTGAAATGCAATGTGTGTTTGTAAAAATGAATTAATCTTGGAACTAGGAAAATAAAGATGATGTGGTAATTATTTATTTATTTGTTATTTAAATTCATATTACACTCTAAACTCTAATAATTATTCTGATAACAACTAAAGAACGAATTGAAAGCCTTAGGTATATATATCATCAATTACTTGTACTAATTTTTATAGATTCTTTGTATTCTGTATTTTTTTACTTATGTACTTTATATTTTTTTAATAACGTAATGGCTTATTAAATGCCTAGTCATGTTACAACTGTACAACAATCACGCTAAAATGTATAGTCATGTTCATAAATTGTCTAATTCGTACTATATACATGACATAACAATGTACACAGCTATTAAATGCTATAAAAGAAATAATATAATTAGCAGGTAAGAAAATTTTGGGGGAAGGTGGTTGTTTCCACCGAATAACATGGGAAAATAAGGTAAGATAAATAATAAATATACTAATTAATTAAGAGTGGTCCCTACTTTTTTCTCACTTTCACTTGACTTCAGCACTTTTTTAGGGGAACTTAAACATGCATTAGAGCTGATGTAGACTCATTTTAACATTTCACTTTCAAAATTACTTTCAATAAAACAAACACTAAAAGTCTTAAAATCATTTCACTTTCACACTTTTACAATTCACTTTCGTAAAAACAAACACCCCCTAGTTTAGTTGTTTAATATGAAATCACAGATTTTTAATTAGTGGCCGGATGACTATCTTTGCTTCTAACTAAGAAAGAAATTTTTTTAAGTAAATTTCTTCCTTGTCACAAACAAATTCCTTTATCTATTTTAATCTCTATGTTCTTCTATATTGAATAATCTAGACTGAATATTTAGATGGACTATTATAATTTTTAATTTCATCTTCAATCTCATTATCAGTTTTCCATGATTAATATAACCATTGGCTTTACCCATGAAACCCTTTAACACGTTAAACTAATACAATACACTACCAAGTCTATATTTCGTCCATGTAACTTGTGAAAATTATTTTTCACAGATTAGCTTTGAAAAGTTTATCATTCACATAAGAAAGTGTACACGGTTTATTCTATGAAATTAGTTGCACACCATCATTTCTTATCATTGATGAGAAACCACCATTTGATTCATTCAGTTTAGATGGAGATGATAAAATAGTTCAATATATTAGTATGTTCTATTGAGAAGAATTCAATAAAAATAATTTTATGGTAACAAAGATTAACAATATTGTTTTTAAATTTATGTAGAAAATTTTGCCAAGTTTATGATTCACGTTCAGATTACACCTTCAAGGTAAAGAATGAAATTAGAAAGTATCTCTCAATATATGCAGTATATATACATGTAAATGCATATACTAGAATCTTAAAATATAAAAATAAGCAGTAATAATAAAATTCTTTTATTGATTATCAATATGCCCCTCATTCATGCACAACTTTTTTTTCTTTTCTTTTCTTTTTAAAGTTCATTTCCATATATTTTTTTCTCAATTATAACCAATGATTTTACTCATTAAATACTTAGACGCGTTTTTTGTCCCTGTAACCAGCAAAAATTATTTTTAAGGATTAGTTTCGGTAAGTTAATCCTTCACATAAAACGTTCAATACAGAAACAATCATTGCTCGGAAACCATCATTCTATCCATTCCCTCAAGACGGAGATTATAAAACGGTTCAATGCTAATAACTCATCGTCAGATTCATTCTCTTCACGCGGAGACGTTAAAAACAATTACACAGTAAGAACGGTCAACGATATTTTTCCTACTTTGTAAAAAAAAATGTCTAGTGCCAAGTTTAATTATGATTTCAAATCCAGGTTAAAACCTTCGGTGCAAAAAAAAAAAAAAAGAAAACATCTATATCATAAATATTTTCAAATTGAATAATGGTAATAACGAGAAGAAGAGAAATCATTAGTAGCAGTAGAAGATAAGGTGGAGTGAAACTGGCTGTTTTATTTTTATTATTATTATTAATTACTGTCCAGAAAGGGCAGGGACAATTAGGTGGGTGGGGTGGGAAGTAGCAGTTTACAGTGCAGTTACGCGGACAGAGACCCCCCCCCCCACCCCACCCACCCCGCACCCCACCCGGCAAGAGATAAAAAGGCAATCGTAACGCTCACTCCCGCAAGCAACGTTCAAAAACACAGCACAGAGCTACAGAGGAGGAGGGGGTAACAAAAACAAAAAACAAAAACAAAAATATGTAATAAAAATATGTTGTCTCGGCTCAACAGCTCGTCGTGGATGGAGGACCCCCGGCATGGAGGAGGACCCCACCGCGTCGTCGTCTATCCCCGCGGCGTGGTCAGGCCGCCCCCTCCCCAACATCATCCTCCGCCTCGCCGTCCTCGACGACCCCTCCTGGTACTCCCTCCCCTCCTCCTCCTCCTCCTCCTTCCTTCCTCCCCCCGTGGGCCCCCCTCCTCTCGACTTCTCCGGCTTCTCCTCCTCCTCCCCCGGCCACCCCAGCCCACTTCAGCCCGCTCTGCTCGGCTTCGACCCCTTCGACTCCCGCTCCAAGACCCTCCGCCCCCTCGACCTCTCACCTCCGCTTGGCGCCAGCAGCGACCTCTCTTCCAGAAGCGCGCGCCCGCCAGAACCCCGGCGGCCCCGTCTTCGACGATAAGCGGAGGAGGCTGCAGGGCTGAGCGAGGAGGAGGAGCTGCAGGATGACGGCAGCATTGACGCGGTCGGGCCTCAACTACGACTCCGATGACTTCGCGCCCGACAACAACAGCGCGGGGCGGAAGCTGGACGAGAGCGACGGGAAGAACGGGAGCGAGGGTAAGGTCACCGGAGGCGGAGGCGAGCGGGAAGGGAAGATAGAAGGCGTGCTGCCGGCCAAGAATTTGATGGCCGAGAGGCGCCGGAGGAAGAAGCTCAATGATAGGCTCTACATGTTGAGGTCGGTTGTGCCCAAGATTAGCAAGGTGAGGATTCTCAGGATATAAACTCTTTTCTTTTCTTTTTCTTTTTCTTTTTTTTTCCTTGATGAAAGCTTGCGGTTTTTCTTTTTTTATTTATCCATAATTTGATATCGAATTACGTAATAATAACAACAACAATAGTTTACGGTGAGATCTGGGTTCCTGAAAGGAGCTTCTAATTTTAATGTTTCGCTCAGTTTGGCCTGGTTGTAGAGAACTTGGTAATGAATTTTTACCAGCCCTGCATAATTTTTTCGGGTTTTATATTTTGGCCTGAAGATCTGCAAGCTGAGAAATTCGCATGACTTTTACAGTTTGTGACAGAAGCCCCTTTTTGTTTTCACATTTTATCTCTTTGTGTCTTATGTGTCACTGTACTTGCTCTGGCAGTAGACATCTGTGGTGATAAATTTTTACCAGACTTTATGGATTTAAACATTTATCTTTAACTTATTGAACTCATGTCCTGGTTCATGTACTGTTGATTTGATTCTCACTTAAAGAGGCTTAATTGTCTTTTTTTTTTTTTTTTTTTTGTTTAATTTTTTTTTTTTTTTTTTTTTTTTGGTCAATATAAATTTTGCTTTTGCTTTTCACAATATCTAGCTTGTCAAACGTTTTAGATTTCTAAGACAGATAAACTTATTGAACTCATCTAGTCGACACTATTTTAGCGCAAAGCACACTCTTTTCTACATTTCCTTTCATGATTTGCTTTTTTTTTTAATTATAGTGACATTAAATTTTCATGTGAACAATTTGCTATTTCTTTCTTGGACCCTTTATTTAATCCAATAGCATCTAGAGGATCAGCATAGCTGAAGTTAACAGTTTCTTATGTTTTATTATTGTGTAAGGATATGGTCCTGCATTTATGATATGTTTGTGGTCCCTTCATCAAGTTACCATTGTGTTGAATATTATCTTCTTCATTTCTTTGAAGAATTTAGCAACTAAGTTTTCCTTTTTGGGTTTTTATGTATGCTCGCATCTACTGAATTTTATCTTAACAATCGGTCAACCTCTTTGGATTCTAATTTCTAATCCAAAGGATTTCTTCTCCCCATAGAATGACGTTATCCACAAGTATTTCTATCATTTCTAAAATTTTGTAGTTGTGTGTGGTCAGTACCCTGTGTTTACGTCTTGTATCCGTACCTATATGGAATTGGTATTATTGTGATGAACTATTTCTTAGTTTAGCATTTTATTTTATTTTATTCCCCTTTACTTTGATTTCTCTCATAGCTGGCCCATTCTACTAAATTTCGGTAGGTACTGATCGTGTTTTATGACAAAATACAGTAGACATTTCAGTTTTTACTCTGTGCAGTACATATTACCTCCTAGATCTACAAAGATGTAGATGTAAATTACTCTTTCTGATAACTAGCGTAGTATGTGATCTAACATTTATGATATATAGGTGGTCCCTTTAACCAATTGGCAAAGAATTACCATTGAGCCAGATTTGTTTTCTCCTGTATCCGTAAAAATATGTTTAATGTTTACTGTTGTGATGATTTTGCTTGTGGTTGTTACAAACTTCAATATTCAATGTTTTCTAAAAAATTTCTTGGCTTGCTAATTGTTACTTGTTGAGATTGTTGCCATGTTGAATAAGGGACCAAATTTGATCAATATTTACTTTCATACTCTAATTAAGTTCCTGTTGGGTGGTGGTGGTGGTGATAAATTTTAACTTTTTCGAAGAAAAAGAATTTATGGGTTTGCAGTAAATCAGATGGTGATCTTAGCTTTTTGAGTTTAATGCTTTGTCTAGTTCTGACTAGTTTGTTTTTGTTCATACTGGATTTATATTAAATTCACCTTAACCTTAGAGGCATATCATCTTCAGTTGTCAAGGGTAGTGTAGTTATGAATTTTAAATCTTTGTTCTGCAGGCAATGTCTTATTCCTTTTTTCAGGTTAAATTTGAAACCAAATTTGAAGCTACTACCTATTCAGTTGGCACAATTTAAAACTGAAACTATTCTGTTGTGTTATTTTGTAACATTTTTGCCTTTAGGAGGCATCATGTTGGCAGTTAGTCTACTATTTTTTAATGCTTTTGTTTTTTTTTTTGTTATTTCCAATTTGATGTTGTATTTGCATTACATTTTATTGTTTTCTGAGTTATATGAACATTTTATTAAACCAGACATGATTTTTTCGTTTATTACCATTTTAATTTTGGAATCACATTCGACAGATATTAACAATAATCAGTGGCAATTAACTAATGTTTGACTGTTATATCCTATTATTTTGGTTTCATTTGATGGTTGATACACACTTTGAATTGTGTAGAACGGTAGAATTTTCCTTTTTCCCCTCTCAATGGCAGAAAGATACTACACTTGTTACTCTGTCCTGAAATTATTGTTGATCACCTTGTTGGATGACCAAGAATTGAGTCTTTATATTTGATATCACCATATCATTGTGCTCTTTTTATTTCCATTAATTAACATTTTTTTCATTGTTAAGCTTTAATCCCTAAACCTTTTCTCATAGATATTGGCCTGGTATCTCTGGATTCATTATCTTAACATTCAAGTTTTGCAGTAAAGTTTGGATTGGGTTCGTGCTCTAAGTAATCTTATCAATGATTAAATTTTCTTTATTTGTAAGAAATTAATGTATTTTGCTTTCTCCATACCTCTGCAGATGGATAGAGCATCCATTCTCGGTGATGCTATTGAGTACTTGAAGGAGCTTCTGCAAAGGATCAATGACCTTCACAATGAACTAGAATCAACACCGTCAAGCTCTGCATTGCCCACTCCAACTGGATCCAGCTTTCATCCATTGACACCAACGCTTCCTACTTTGCCATCTCGTGTCAAGGAGGAGCTCTGCCCAAGTTCTTTACCCAGCCCAACAGGTCAACAGGCAAGGGTTAGTTTTTATCCTCATAAATTCCAATTTCTACTATATCTTGTTGTTAAATACTACACTATCTCCTCTCCTTTTTTTATCCTCATCATAAGCTTTAATACGAATTCGTAAACCCAGTATGCTAAATCTTTCCTGTTGCATTACTATTGAAACAGAGCATCGTGTTTCTGTATCAACTTCGAAGAAAAAAGAAAGACAACACTAGCCACTTGCTGAATGTAACTAATCTGTGACTAGAGAATTTACTTTGTAATTGTCTTTAATGATCTTTAACTTGTTCTGACCTTTTTTTTCCCCTCTCCCTATCTTAATATGAGTTTTTGTCCATAGTCTTCACATTTGACATTCCTCTGCTTCCATCCATATCCTTCTATTCATTATCTAGAATTTTTCGACTCTTGACTTGAATTAACATGTAAATTTTCTAGTAATATCGGCGTGCTATTTGATTCAAGCATGCAAATGCAATAATTTATATGGGCAGCTTTCAGATATCTTTCTGAACTATTTGGAAAGAAACTAAATATGGAGCTGGGGAAGACCAAAAAGATGAATAATTGTATTAGTTACTTAACAGTAAATATATCTCTTAATGTTGACAGTTTGCAATTTCTCCTCTATATGTAGGTGGAAGTGAGGGTAAGAGAAGGGAGGGCAGTGAATATTCACATGTTCTGTGCTCGAAGGCCAGGCCTCCTGCTCTCTACAATGAGGGCGCTTGATGGCCTTGGCCTTGACATCCAGCAAGCGGTCATCAGCTGTTTCAACGGGTTTGCTCTTGATGTGTTTCGAGCTGAGGTATGTTCATTTACTTATTCTGCACGTAGTTGCATTAATATTAGCTTTGGTTTTAGTATCATCTTCCTTCTCCTTAGCCAAAATCATATTATTCTTTTTTTTTTTTTCATTGTCCTGAGTGGTTGGCAAACTTACTCGTGAATTATTGATCCTCGCACATTATCTAATATTATCAAAAATATTCGGAAATTTTCTTTATGTTAGTGTTATATACCTTCCATCTTGTGTTCTGGATTGCTTCTCTTTGGCCTTAGTTGTCTTGACCAAGAATGTTGTGCCATGTCTTTTTTTTTTTTTAAGCCTTGATCCAATCATAAAAAAATTGAGAACGTTATTTGAGATTGGCATGTATGATGACAATAATACCGATACTGGTGTATGTTTTTATTGCAAAGGGTAAAGTTGGTAGTTACCAATCTGCAAATGCTGAATTCTGCGTATATCTACTTAAATACTTGTTTTGGTTCAGATCATTTTACTTCTAGAGCCAATTTTGCATATTTGCAATTTTCTTAATCCTTGCTCACATTTGTATGAAATGAATCTAATTTGCTTCCTCTTTGTCCTCCCTTTGTTTCAGCAATTGAAGGATGGGCCTGGTGTGATGCCTGAAGAAATCAAAGCAGTGCTTCTTCACTCTGCTGGCTTACAAAATGCAATGCAGTAGAATCATGGAGGGAACCGATCTATGGACATCTCATGCTTTAAAAGAGTGGACAAACTCGGCATTTGCTACCGTTTTCCTCAAATGAACTTGCTTTAGTGCCTCATGATAACTCTTTCTTCGTTTATCATATCCAGTTTAAGTTAATATAGAGACTTCATTTCCGTCTCCATTTCTTTGTTGCTCTGTTATCAGTTAGGGTAGCTTTCCAGTTAAAGATGACAACGTTAGCAAGGTAAAGAAAATCTTACTGTTTTTAGTTTTCCTGGTACTTTGACATGTTGATGTAGTGAGAAGAAGGAAAAACTTGGTGTATTAGCTTTCTGGCATTGAAATATTAGTGTATTGTGTTTTGAGATGTCCATGGAATGAGACCCTTTTGGTCTCTTGTTTGTTCGACGTAACTTTGACGGTGACAACTCGAGACATCGTATTTATTTCCTGATAATTACTTCTTTTCTGGTGTTGTTGCCATTGCATATTGAACAGTTGAACAACTCAAGAGCAAAACAGCTTTCTTACATTGTGAAGTTGGAATGAATGCATAATTTTATGCATTTTGTGATTGAAGGCAAACGAGGAGAACGGTTGTTGGTTGAATAACTTCTTATATGGCTTAAAGCAATCTCTCAGATAGTGTTCTGAGTAAGTTTGATTTTTATAGGAATATATCGGTTGATGTGGGAGTATGCATGAGTTATATTGTGAGTATATAAAAATATAACCATCAACTCTCGCTGAAACTTTAAAGACTTATGAGAATATAAAAATATAACCATCAACTCTCACTAAAACTTTAAAGACTTATTTTAAGAGTTAGATTTTTTGGCATATGCTATCAGAGCAACCTAGGTTATGTTAGAATATAAAAACATAATTCTCAAATCTCACCATAACTTCGTAGCTCTAGTGTATTGACAAGGTCTTTAGGATGCATTTACTTGAGAAATCTTACATACGTTTTAATTAGGTGGAAAAGAACTTCGTAGAATGAATTTTGTATCATCTACCTCCGCGGTAGAGTATATGCCAATTAAGAGAAAAAGAAGCTATTTTGTTGAGTGAATTTATTTGTCAAACTAAGTTTGCATGAGGAGTTCACTATTGCCAATTGTGATAGTCAAAGTGCTGCTGGTTAACAACAATTCAAAACTATCTTGGGAGAACAAAACACATCGATAGAATACACTTTTTGATGCGAAACGGGACAGGGGGTCTATCAGAATCAGTGATCTAAATCGAATAACGCACCGTTTCGCCAAAATTCATAATATTCGGTAGGAAATTAATTTCAAAACAATTGACGTGACAGATGGATTTTAACAAGACTTGCATCAATAATCATGAACAATTCCAATCTCAAACAATATAATCGTAGTATTCATTATCATTTAACACATTTTCTAAAATCAATATCAAATTTTCAACAGTCACATGCTCAGTTAATCTCAACTCACAAGTATGAACTAAGCAGTGCATATGTGATAATAGTTTAGAGATAATATACTCATGCAATATAACTAACCAAATGGAAATTAACAGAAAAATAAAGAAAGTGAAACCTTCGTCGGTCTGAACAGACTCGAAGTGTGCGACAACACCGAACTAAGTGACGTCGAAGGCGACAAACTGAGTGCCAACAAGGATAACGGCGTCAACTAGACGATGTGATAACGGTGGTGGCGACTGGACAGCGACGCGAGCAACTACGTCGAGGTGGAAGATGACGACAGTGAACTAGGCGATGACCACGGCGTGTGAAGTGACGACGACGAGGGAAACAGGATGGACGCCAACGGCATCGATTGAGCTATCAAGTGGTTGTTTGGATTTGAGGTAGCAGGAAGGCAGTGGGTTAAATGGTTTGCGGAAGAAGAGCAGTGGATTGCGGCACTTATGTGGAATAAGGCTGGTGGGGGGGCTGATCGGGGAAAGAGGAGAGGGCTCGGTGGCTGGTGGAGGAGGTAAAGGTGGTCGGGGCGCTTCTGCTTATGGAGGAGAAGATCAGGGCAGCTATTGCGGGGAAGGAGGGGGATTGGGGCTGTTCGTGGCTATTGTTGGAGGAGGAGAATAAGAACGGGAGAATTGTAGCTAAGGTTTCACACCCATGGTTTCACACCAAGCAATTAGCAACAATTTTCTTCATTTCATTCAATAATTCATTGTCTTTCAATAGTCTCATACAACATTATTTATTAAGAAAAACTACATGCACACAACGTGCAATAAAAAATAGAAACAAAACAACAATCCCTCAAATCACTCAACTAAAATTCAAAATTCAAAATTCAAAATTCAAAATTCAAAAATCAAAATACAAAATCCAAATTTTAAATTTCAAATTTCAAAAATCAAAAATAAAAGAAAGTCAACTAATCAAATATGAAAATTGCTATTTCTTGTCCTCATCATTCTCCTCGAGTGGGAGAAAACTCGACTTCGTCGAGTTAGTCGCAGAAACTTGTCATCTTTAATATACTATGTCTGCATCTTAATCTGTCGTCAGTTACTTTCCCGCATCTCAAATCATTATCTAGATTGCATTGTAAATTCACCATCTAAAATATTATCAAAATTCACTGCTGCATGGATGAATATATAGAAGTGAGGTAAAGTAAAAGAACTCTCAGAAACAATGGATTAGGGTCAGACTTATATCAGTGGATTGTCAATAACATTATGAACTGTTTAATTAATCAATATTGAGAATAGAACTATGACCAAATCGATAATATAAATGTTACCATTAATTATTTCAAGAGTTGGAAAAGTTCATAAATATCATGTCAAACCTTAAACAGTTATAAAGAAACTATATTGGACAAGTCCAAACCATCTAAAATATCAACATTGATAGTTTTAAAATTATATCCTGACTCCATATCATACATTTTAGTTAACAATGTATTATTCAAATTAGATCACTGATTCCCCAATATATGACCAATGCAATTCAAAAAAATGATGTGAATCAACTCAAATGATTATGGTGAAATGCAGACTCGAACAATGCGAACAATGACAAATGTAAACTCAATGAAGCGCTTAACATATATGACGTCCTCTATCAAAGGGAATGATTAGGTGTTCCTTTGTTAATATAAATAACACATTTCCTATTCTAGCAGTGATAGTGAAGAACATGCAAACAAATGCGTGAAGGAGGAGTGTTTTTGTGCACTTAACATGAGAGAAAAAGGAAATAAAAATGTTCGTGCTAAAACTTGTATCCCTAATCACTATATTTTCCCAAAATGGATCAGTGTATGTGTGAGTGACTATCGGGACAATGCATGGGGTTTGACATCTAATATGGTAGTTATTTCACTATGCTCAATTTGATATTCAACTTCCATATATATGTCTGATTGAATCACTTTAGTACCCAGGTCAGGAACGTGTTGGGGGTCATGTTTGTTTGGGAGAACTTCGTGTGGAACATCAACAATGTTTTCAATCACTGGAGTTGATTCAGGAGGAGTTGGAGTTTTAATTTCATGAATAACTTCAAGGATAACATCAGTGGACTCCGTGATCAAATGGGTAGCTTGGAAATAACTAGAGTGTTGTCATTGCATGAAACTTCAGTCAACTCCACAATTGTAGGGGTAGTTTCAGAAGACACAGAAATGTATGGTTCTTTAATTTTATTCTCCTAGATTTTCTTGTCAGAGTTAGATTCTGTCAAATCTATGGCCAGGTTAACGGTTTCCTCAATAATAGATTTAGATTCCGTTATAGGCGGCTTATTAATTCTAACTCTGAACGGGTTTGTACAGATGGTAGCAACATGGCTATATCCTTGACAATTGTAATACTGAATTATTGGGCTAAGTTTGGAGAAATCTCTCTCTGACTCCTTGCCTTTGGGATCGACTATAGACTGGGAAGAACTAGGGTTAAATCGACTCGGAGGCTGACTAGAGGTATTGGCACGGGAGGGCTAGGAGGAATGAGTTAGGGGTCGTTGAACGATGTGTCCATGACCTTGATCTTGCGGATACGGAGTTGCAACAGGCGTTTTTCCTAGACTAATGCGTGTCTCGTTGGTTACATTTTGGAAGGCCTGGACTACGACACTTAGTTGTATTTTTAGTTCATCAAATTTCTTAGGGAGTTTGGGAGACATGCTGGACTCACTAGTTGATTCGATGGACTCACTAGTTGATTCACTTGACTCTCCTAATCGATAGGGTAGACTTGTGCGAGTAGGAATGCACTACAACTAAAAGGAGATGAATGGGATGCACTAACAACTAAGTGAAATGAATGGTATTTTTTTATTTTTTATATAAAATAAAAGACTCAATTAACTATAAAATGAGAAATTAAATTTCCTAACCTAGAACCATGCTCTGATACCAAAAATGATGCGAAACGGGACAGGGGGTCTATCAGAATCAGTGATCTAAATCGAATAACGTACCGTTTCGCCAAAATTCATAATCTTCGACAGGAAATTAATTTCAAAACAATTAACATGACAGATGGATTTTAACAATACTTACATCAATAATCATGAACAATTCCAATCTCAAACAATATAATCACAGTATTCATTATCATTGCACATGTTCTACAATCAATATTAAATTTTTAACAGTCACATGCACAGATACTCTCAACTCACAAGTATGAACTAAGCAGTGAATATGTGATAATAGTTTAGAGATAATATACTCATGCAATTAACTAACCAGATGAGATTAACAGAAAAATAAAGAAAGTGAAACATTCGTCGGTCTGAACAAACTCGACGTGTGCGACGACACCGAACTGACTGACGTCGAAGGTGACGAACTGAGTGCCAACAAGGATAACAGTGTCGACTGGACGATGTGATAACGGTGGCGGCGACTGGACAGCGACGCGAGTAACAGCGTCGAGGTGGAAGACGACGACAGTGAACTAGGCGACAACCACGGCGTGTGAAGTGACGACGACGAGGGGGACGGGATGGACGCTGACGGCGTCGATTGAGCTATCAAGTGGTTGTTTAGATTTGAGGTAGCAGGGAGGCAGTGGGTTAAATGGTTTGCGGAAGAAGAGCAGTGGATTGCAGTACTTATGTGGA